AAGCCTCGTTACCACTGCACCTTCCTGAGACTCCTGAGGCTCATCTGTGAACCTGCACTTGGAGCTCAACTTGTCTTTCAATATCAGGGACCGCAGCATAACACTTTATCAAAAAGAACGCAGGCAGTAGTCTTGCTATCAAGCAGCGGTAAACAAGACAGCTGTTCCTGAAGTTTCTTGTGTTGCAGCGTCTCCCGAGTCCTGCCTTAAATCAGTGGAAATGTTGATGTTTCTTTAAGACGTATTACTTGGATAGTGTTGAGGAGACATCAACACTATCCACATAGGAGACATAGTGTTGAGGAGACAGTGAGAACTTTAACAGCTGTAGTAATACACAAAGTCAAGCATATATTTGTCTTTCAAAGGTATATAGTGATCTGTAAATGTGTTTGTGTCAGCAGTGGTTTTTGTCTGTTATGAGCTGCCCTGACTGTGCTGTGGCCCTGCAGGTGACAGAGCAGATGACAGTGATTATTGAAGAGAGGGACGAGCTGAAGAGCAGGGTGCAGGACCTGCAAGGCCAGCTGGATGGATGGACCTCTGAGCAGGACAAGACGGCCGCAGACACAGAACAGCTGAAGAGGGCGTTGCAGGAGTGCCAGGTCAGCCTGCCCCTACCTGAAACACACACACACACACACACACACACACACACACACACACACACACACACACACACACACCACCCTACAACATATTACAGCTGCTGAAGGCAGGATAGCAGTGAGTGTTGGGTTGCAGGGAGCTATAATGTGGTGAGCAACAGGTAGGGGATGAAACATGGGACCCACAGCTTTGCGACCTGTACAGAAATATGCAGGTGGAGCTACAGGCTGCCAGTGTCATTAGAACATGGTTAGGTCACATTGCTGCACCATCTCAGAATTTTGTCATGTTTTTTAAACATGTACCGACAGGTGGAGCTGGGTACAGGATACAGTATGTAGCTCACTGACTACCATTTACCCACATTTATGTTTATAATAACAATAGTTTACACTTATATAGCTCTTTTCTGGACACTCCACTCAAAGCGCTTTACAGGTAATGGGGATCCCCTCCACCACCACCAGTGTGCAGCCCCACCTGGATCCACCAATGTGCAGCATCCACCGCCAAAGTGCGCCAGAACGCTCCCCACACACCAGCTCTCAGTGGGGAGGAGAGCAGAGTAATGAAGCCAGTTCAGAGATGGGGATTATTAGGAGGCCTTGATTGGTAAGGGCCAATGGGAAATTTGGCCAGAACACTGGGTTTACACCCCTACTCTTTTCGAGAAACACCCTGGGATTTTTAATGACCACAGAGAGTCAGGACCTCAGTTTTGCGTATCATCCGAAGGACGGCGCCTGTTTACAGTATAGTGTCCCCATCACTATACTGGGGCATTAGGACCCACATTGACCGCAGGGTGAGCGCCCCCTGCTGGCCCCACTAACACCTCTTCCAGCAGCAACCTTAGATTTTCCCAGGAGGTCTCCCATCCAGGTACTGACCAGGCTCACACCTGCTGAGCTGCAGTGGGCTGCCAGTTGTGAGTTGCAGAGTGATATGGCTACTGGATGTTTACCCCGTATGTGTGAAATTGTACATTTCACCAATTAACTACATTTCTATTATTTATTACTTTTCTTTTCCTTCTCTTACGACTGTCTGTGTAGCATACTGTTTAAGATTCAGGACTTATAACTGGCCGGTTGCAGATTCAAGTCCTCGCTTCAGACACAGCTCTTGTGCCTTGAGTGAGTGACTGTGCCCAGATTGCACTAATTCTCCCAGCTGTATCACTGGAAACCTGGATTTTCCGGAGTCAGGCTCTGCGGTGGATTAGCTTCCCAGAGGGGAAGTCACATGGTCTCTGTACTCTTAACTCCATGGAAACCAGAATACTCTCCGGTCCAATGAGCCATTGTGGCTTGAATAGATCAAGTATCTTCACTTTACCTTGAGATGATCAGATATACACCTCTGATAATTCTTATCATGCCGTTTTTTTCATTAAGATGTTTTTGGCACGTTTTGAACTATCCTTTTGGGAGTTCTGAGCAGAGCGCCACCATGCTCAGCCACTTCAGAAAGCACAGCACTGTTTATATGGCAGCCCTTCTCTGTTCTGCCCAGGCTCGTGTGCAGGAAGCCCCTTCTGTTCCCAGCCTGCAGAGGGAGATAGCAGCTCTGCGGGACCAGGGTGCCCCACCTTCGCTTTCCTGGGTGCGTGCTCTGGCTCTCTCCATGCTGAGTTCTCTGCTGTCATGGCAGCAGGAAGCAGCTCGGGCCCTGCAGGATGCTGGGATAGATGTTGCAGCTTCAGCCAATGGTAAGGCTGTATCCCGAATTGCCCCCTCTGCTGTACAGCAGGTTGCCTAGCTCCTTATTTTAAATAATCCAAAGGTTTTGGTTTTAAGGTGAATATTTGAAGTGAAGACATTTTGATAGGTGGCTCTAGGCATTTCAAAGGGTATAGATGCAGATGGAGCTCAGTGGTGCAATTAGAGCTTTGGCAGTCCAATCAGTGTGCTGTGACGGTGACACCCCTGTGTGTTACCCATGTGACAGTGGCACAGCCTGCTAGGGTAGGCTTGAGCTAGTTATAAGAAATGCTTGGGTCATCTTATTTGCGCTAAAATTGTTCCTTAGATGAAATAATATCTTATTTCTCTAACTGGGTTTTCTCTCCATCCCTGCATTTTCATATTCCAGTTTCCTGAGGACCTTGCGTCCAAGTCGGAGAGCTTCAAAGAAATTATTTTTATATAAAGTTTATTGACAGGATAAACTTCTCGAAAATGTCGCATCACCTCAGTTTTTAAGGGGGCCGTGTTAAAATATTTTCATAGTGTTTGTTTATATAAAATTAAACAAAATGTAACACAGGTTTCACAAAGAAAGAAAAAAAAGAAAGGTAAATAGGAAATCCAAACTCTCTCAGTTGTTGCAGAGTTGGTGTGATTGCTTCAGTGCAGCACCCAGGAGAGATGGCCAGTATAGGGAAATTGGGCCAGTTAAGCCAGCAGAGCAGATTTGGATCAGTAGGAGCTAAGCTTGGAATGAAAATTTGCAAACACACCAGAGCTGGACCACTCTGGGCTTGAGTCCCTGATGTTAACAGTCTAACACCAGCCCCCAGTGTTCCTGGCAACCTCGAGCCTACAGCAAGGCACGTCACTCTGCTAGTCAGGTTAAACATTCCTTTAAGGCCTTGTGGGGCTCATGGTGTGTCAGATGAACTGGTGAACAGGTTGAGGGCCATTGTTCTTCCAGCACAGTACAGTCATTGTAGCGGTAATCTGAGTTGATTAACAATTAATGATTCCATATACGGAGGGTA